AGCGCGTTTAACAGCCGTAACGTTCCTTTTCGCCGACAGCGACGGGGCGCAGAGGAGGCGTTTCCTCGAAGGAAAACTCGACGTAAATCACGATGCTGCTTACAAAGTGACGGCCTCGCGTTCGCGAAATCGAGCGAGAGAAAAATGTTTGCGGGTTGACCGATGGATATCCCTCCGGGGCGATTCAAGTTTTAATTAATCGTGGAAGCTCGAGCCGCGCAAGCCATTTTTGCAAATTCACCTTTGCTCTTTCCTTTGTTCGATGAGTTTTCTCCGACAGCTTTGCGGAATCAGCTTGACCTTAATAGAATCCCGCTGCCCGACACCCACCCCTCGTCCAACGCTTCGCGGTACCCATCTGCGTGTACCAATCTAATTGCATCGAAGGCGAAACGCAATCACGACACATTAATTATGTTGTTCGCAAACTGCGCACGGACGACAGATCTTCTCAGGCGTCCTCCGTGATCAATCTCCAGCTTTTGAAGGACGAAAAATTTTGATAGTGGGACGCGAGATATTGTAACTGTGGGGGCGAAACGGATCGGAGATAGTAAATCGCGATAAAGAGATTTCCGAACGGATTCAACATCCAGCTATGTTGGACGATCCGACCGCGGCAGTTACCACGAGGCAAGGGTCCTGCTTCGGCACGATCGCTTCTCTCTTTGGCAAAACAAAAACTCGCCACGACGGTCGGGATACTCTGAGCACTAAATGGCTCTTGAACACTTGAGAGACTCGACCGAAGAGAACGAAAAAAACAAGTACAGGCGGAAAGATCGATAAAAAGAAAAGATGGTGCACGGTAATCTTTTGATTTTAAACGGAATATGTAATATACTCGCTTCGGTATGTATATATGTAAATACTCGCCGTTTCCGCGATTTCTCCTCGGGAAGGACAACCAGCAGTAGCTGCTCCACGGAAAAGCCGTCATCAGTCCCCCGTCCCTTCGTCAATTACATCGATCTCCTTTCGTTTACTCTTTATAACCAATCTCGCAAATGTACGCTTTTCTCTCTTTACCTCGAGTGTAGGCGAGATTGCTAAAAGGAAAAACTGGAACGAGCCGACACGATGGAGAGGCCGCGGTTGGGTAAAAAAAAAAAAGAAGAAAGAGAGAAAAAAGAAAAAGTAACGAACCTAGGGGAAACGGACGAGCCTGGCAACAAAGCAAAGACAAACTCGTCGATTTTCTCGCTAATGAAGAGTCGAGGACTAGATCCAATATCGTGACCAGCGATTTCCATTTAAACGTAACAGTTTCCAGGGCTACCGAGGCTTGTTCGACGTTTCGCGAGGAGATACCGAGATGAGTTACCGTGCGTGGTCCCGATAACTGGGCCGTCTCGCGATCGAAGGTCGGAGAGGATCACGTTTCGATTCTCGCGGCACTGTAAATGGCCCGCGGCCTTCTCGATCCTGTAAATTGGACGGTTGGTAAACACCGGACGCACGGGGCGCAGGACGGTCCGAGCGACGAACGGCTTTGGCGAACGGCCAAACATCTCGTTTGTCGATGGATTTGACGCGAAACATCTCTCATCCGGCGTGTCGTCGCGCGCTAGCATGTGTTTCCTTTTGTTCTTCCTTTTTTTTAATCTCTTCGCATCCGCGAACAAATCAGGATTAAGCGGAATGCGGATAGATTTATCGTTACGGTCCGGTCGCGCAATTACTCGGAACGTCCTTTTTGTCAAACGAGTGTGTTGTTCGTAAATCAGCCGCAATTAAAACGAAAGCGAAATTCTCGCGAAAACGAAAAGCGCGAGACGTGGGAACCGGGGAAGAGCGCGTTTCCTCGTCCATAAACAACGGTATAAAACGAAATCGCTTGTCCCGGACGCGTACGCGTTTTCGGCTCTCGCGTCGTAAACTCGAAGGTAAACAGAGCGGAATGCGGATCCGTGTTTCGCGTGCACGCGACGCGGCGCGCCGGTTTGCGCGGATACGTACCTCTGGCCAGATTTCAACCCCTGTAAAATCAACGGTACACGCGTCTGTATGCAATGTGGCGCGCATGTTCGAATCGAAGTCGCGTAATGCGGTTAAAAGGTGAGCAGCGCGCGGTAACAGCGGCGCGGTGCGAGTACGATTGTTTGCGAATTACTCGCTCGTCAGTTCGTACATTCTCTCATTCTACCGTTCTCCCTTGCTGGTTCTCTACGCGAAAACGTTCCACGGCACTCGCTGCACACGCGATGATCACGGTTCGCGTGATCTCGTCGCTGTACCATCGCCATAGGCGTCAAATCGATCCTTTTCAAATCCCGAACCTAAATCTCACCGAATTCGAATCGTAAAAACGGACCTCGACTCTGAGCTTTGCCCGACCTTCCATCGAGAGCGAATCTAGCAAAAAGAACCAAACGTCTTTCGAAAATTTCACTCCGTTCCTACGTATTTTCTTTTTCCATGAAACAATGATCCGCAATGCGCGCGAGGTAGCTTTTCGCTTGCCATTCTCCAGTTTCCGACGACTCCGTGCTCGGTGGATACACATTCCGTCTCGGCGATCGGATATAAAGAACCGGGAAGATATTCCGCTTGGCCTATTCTTTTCGTCCGACCTCGGTTTCGGTGTGGCAGCCGTGGAAGGCATCCGTTAAATACAGATATTTTCTCAGCCCTGGCAACGACTCGTCGTTCTTACTCGACCTACGGTCGGCGACCTTTTAAACCGAAATAAATTTGTAACGTAATTAGTCCATGTAATTGCGTTAACGCGGATCGACCCAGAGATGTGCGAAATCGCAGGCAACAAAAATATCTCGAATGAGCGTAATAAATTGAATAGCGTAAAAAATAGAAGAAACGAACGGAATGGGAAGGAAAAGGAACACCGGTCCGGTAGCAAACGCGAAAGGGTGGTTGGCTCAAAATTCTGGTCCGAGTTTAGCGTAGCGGTAATTATACTCATCAACAGAAGTGTCACAAGCAGACACGGTTTATTATATGACCGCTCGCGACGGTTCCGCGCGACATCATTGTTTTCCGAAGAATTTAATTTAAATTCCGTGCCGAGAAAGGACCCTTTCCACCCACGCTTTCACACTTTACTCCCTTCTCTATACAATACAAGATTGCTCCGACTAATAGTTTTCAATCAACGTTAATTAGTTCTCGTTTTTACGTGGCCTCGGACAACGACCAGCAAGCCGGACGAAACTCTTCGATTAATTAGCTCCGAGCATCGTCGCATACTCGGCAACGGTGGACTTTACTTAAGGATGTGTATTGGCTATATAGTCAATCCCAAAAGTTTATGTACCTTAGAAAAACGCATTTCCGATAATTAAAAATAGTGCACTTTTCTTCTAATTTCGATATTTAATGAGTTACATATGATTATATGGCATTTTATTGATGTTGACGAAATCCGACCATTCCACCGTCGAAACCACGAACTTTTGGAAAAAAATGTCGTTTTTCCTCAATAACTCCTAAACCGTACAACTTACGAGAAAATTGCATAGGACCTTTCTTGTAGAGGACG